AGCCAGGGGTGACCGCAGACCAGCCAGTAACAAGAAACACTAAACTTCCAGTTTAGTACTTGCGGGGAGCCCCACAAGTACTAACTGGACAAGTCCAAAACCTGTGGGCCCAGTGGGTAAATCCTGATCTGGCATGGATTTTGAGGTTTACTGGTACAGTGGTACCTCTACTTACGAACGTCTCTTCATACGAAATTTTCGAATGATGAAATGCCTCAACAAGAAAATATTGCCTCTTGTTATGAAATAAAATTCAAGATACGAAATGTAAAAATACAGTATAGGCTGCTAGTTGCAGGTTTGAGTTTCCTAAATGCAACATACTTATAGCTGCTCTGCCATTAGCTATCTCCGGTGGGGCCGCATAACAGCCAGTAACAAGAAACACTAAACTTCCAGTTTAGTACTTGCGGGGAGCCCCACAAGTACTAACTGGACAAGTCCAAAACCTGTGGGCCCAGTGGGCAAATCCTAATCTGGCATGGATTTTGAGGCTTATTGGTACAGTGGTACCTCTACTTAACGAACATCTCTTCATACGAAATTTTCGAGTGATGAAACGCCTCAACAAGAAAATATTGCCTCTTGTTATGAGCTTTGAGTTTCCTAAACGCAACATACTTATAGCTGCTCTGCCATTAGCTATCGCCAGGAAGATGGCTGATCTTCCTGGCATCCCATTGGCTAAGAGGGACTTCCACCAGATGTGTCAATGTATCTAGATAGATCAATAGAGAGATCTGTGTCTATGCAGTGTCCTCGTCATTTGCATAAATGTACATATTTTGATGTATTTTCATGCTTTAGAAAATATTTATGTCTGAATTTTGGGGGGGCTTGGAACGGATTAGGGCATTTACATAGAAAACACGTCTCTACTTGAAAAAATTTCTAGTATAGAAATTTCTTGCAGAACCAATTAATTTCACAAGTAGAGGTAGAGAGATCTGTGTCTATGCAGTGTCCTCGTCATTTGTATAAATGTACATAGTTTGATGTATTTTTATGCTTTAGAAAATATTTATGTCTGAATTTTGGGGGGGCTTGGAACGGATTAGGGCATTTACATAGAAAACACGTCTCTACTTGAAAAAATTTCTAGTATAGAAATTTCTTGCAGAACCAATTAATTTCACAAGTAGAGGTACCACTCTACTAGCTGTGTCACACCAAAACTTTTGTAAACCAAAAAGTTTTCCTTTCCACCTAGATTTAGCAAAACAGCTGCATGGTTTGGAAAATGCCTCCCCTTGAAAAAGGACCCAAGATCTAGATTCTGCAACAGGACTTGGACCTCCACTTCCTTCTATGGAACTGGATACTGTTGCCATGCTTCCCTCACCTGTGTTGTAGAAGAGGGTGGCAATGAAAGTGCAGTTCTTGAAGAAAGTGTTACTGGAGGTGATGTCCTCAAAGTAGCACTCCTCAAACAGCGAGTCCTCAAACACCATGGACCTCATTTTCAGGTTCATGAACCTGGAAAGCGGTAGAGCCAAGCGGGTTCATTTGCCCGTTTCAGACAAAATTCAGGACGGTGTTCGTTGACTCACTTGTCGTTGAAGTACTCCCCCTGGCGGTGCACCTGGTTTTCCAGGGTGAAGTTGAAGGTGACGTGCTCCACCTTCTCCTTGACAAAAACTTTGGTGCGTGAGGCGTACTCCTGCTTCTGAAGGTACTTGATCATGTCGGGGAACCACACGGTCAGACCGTAGTAGCTGTGCCGGCGGAACAGGAGTCTCCGTTAAAATGTATATTCCCAGACCACTGCACGGTATCCTGAGGTAAGAGTACTACCTAAAGGACATGGAGAACCAGACGGCCATCATCATGTAAGTGGTGCGGCGGTACTCGGGGGAGAAAACCGTCTGGAAATTACTCCACACCTGAAAGAACAAAGAAGACAGAGCATATTACTATCAATTACCAGCCCATCTGTCCGAACTTCTGATTTGGGGTCATTTGAGCAAAGTTCCCATTAAGATTTGTAAGGTGGCCCGGTCTGAAAAAGGCCAGATTCCTTTTGGATATTTGCTAAAAATGGTGTGCACAGTCAGCCTTAAAAAAATCTAATTTGAGGAGTGTGACAGGAATCAGATCAAGCCGGCGGGCTGAATGTAGCTTATGCAATTTCAAGCAGTGTTCTTGGGACTTGTGGTTTGTTCTTTTATGATAGATAGACCCATCCAATTTCATATCACTCGAGGAAACTGATTTCGGGTGCTATTTTATTTCAACTTCCTCGAAAGGAGTCTCAAATTTTGATGTCCTGGTCTTCCAGCATTAGCTCGTGTAGGCTCATCAACGTCAACCATCTTTAGAGGATGCCTGCTTCTGATCGGGGCTCATTTGGGCTAACCTCCTCGTAGGAAGTTCATCAAACCCCGGAATTGGCCCAGAACAGCTGCTTCAGACCAAATAGTTTTCTTTCTGTCTCCAAACACACGCTTGCATAACACACATTCCTGAATCAACGCTGCTGTACCTGATGGAAAAGCGAGGTGAGTTTTATTCTCCATTTCTCGTGCCAAGCGGCGCCATCTCCCAAGTTGACCAGCTCGTCCATCTGCTTCACTGTTTTGATGGTGGTCACCTGACATGTCAGTTTAATTCGGTTAAACCCAAAATTCTGATTGTGATATGCGCTACTCCCAAAAAGTCAAGGGATGTATAGATATATATTTTTGAGCAATGTGAGTCGTTCCAATGTGTGGCTTACAGAGAACACTCTCTCCGGATATCCTTTGGCCCTCATGTTGGTGTCATGCACCTGCTTCAGAATCATCCAAGCCTCGTCGTGTTTCCCATTCTGGAAGTGCAGAAAACAAACCAAGATGAAAGCAACCAACATGTCACAGTGAAGCCAAAATGCATATCACAGACAACATAGGAAAATCGTGCGACTGAATGTTGAACTGACCTCCAGGTAGAAGCGAGGACTCTCGGGCATGGTGGTGAGGGCCGAAATGGCCGCCACCGAGGGGAACGCACACACCAGTACGAAGACGCGCCAGCTGTGGAACTGGTAGGCTGAGCCCATCTGGAAGCTCCAGCCTGAGGGCGACGAGAGCAATCATGTACCCGCTATCATGAAACAATGTCTCAGCCATATACGCACCAGAAAAGAGACAAATCCGAAAAATGATTACAAAAGAATACAGTGGTAAGAAACGCCTCAACAGGAAAATATTGGCTGTTACGAATGAAATTTCAAGGTACGAAAGGTAAAAATACATTATGGGCTGTTAGTCGCAGCTCCGGGTTTCCTGAACGCAACATACTTTTAGCTGCTCTGCCATTGGCTATTACCAAGCATCTTCCTGGCATCCCATTGGCTAAGAGGGACTCCGAGAAACCTCACCATAGTGTGGAATGATGGCCCAGGCCATGGCCGAGGCGTAGATGCCGCCGATCATCCAGAACATGCAGAGCCAGCTGAGGTGCTCCCCTCGCTTCTCCTGAGCCAGAAACTCGGAGTAGTAGGAGAACACGATGGGGATGGAGCCACCGATGCTGGCGCGGAAACAAGAACGAGAACTTCAGAGATCAAGCGAGGTGAAGATCGCAAGCGTCTCTTCATGCGATGTTCTCTCACCCGACTCCGGAAGCCAGGCGGCAGAAGAGGAAGGAGCTGTAGCCTTGCACGAAGGACGAGAAGAAGGCAAATACGCTGTTGATGGACAGCGAGATGAGCAGCGTTTGCCGCCGCCCGATGCGGTCGGCCAGGCCGCCCCACACGAACGCACCCACCATCATTCCCAGATATACGATCAGGCCTGAAGTTGGGAGAAGAGAATTTGATATGGATGGAGAACAGTCAAAAAAAATTGAATATCAAGCCACATCCATCCATCCATTTTCTGATCCGCTTTATCCCCACAAGGGTCGCGGGTGCTGGAGCCTATCCCAGTTATCTTCGGGAAGTAGGCGGGGGACACCCTGAACCGGTTGCTAGCCAATCGCAACACAGACAGAAAACCATGCGCGCGTGCACACACACACACACACACACACACACGCACACACACACACACACACACACACATTGGGACAA